ACTGTCATCACTGTCATCGCTAACAATTTGATTAATTTTGTTCCGTTTACGTTTTGAATGCATATTTTCTTCCGCACTTTCAGTAACACGAATAGGAGACATACTTTCATCATCTAATATTGGATTTTGTTTGCTCCCGGATTTGCCATCATCATTCACACCGATCTTTTCTGTTTCAAGTAGAAATAATTCAGTACGTTCACTAGCGTTACTCTGAGTAGCTTCAGTATTTTTAACAAGACATGTATTAGGAGATAAACCCATGGAACTTGTTGAGGGTATTAGGCCATTTATAACCTTATAAGAAGGATTGCAGAATTTTTCTGTAGAACAGTGTACAATTGCTAGTCCAATTTCATATTCAGGTATAAAACGTAGATTATTAGTTTCTAAATAGTCTACAAAAATTGCAAATAAATATAAGGAAAAATAACGAAGAACTTATAAAAACTTACTCTCAATGACATTAATCGTTTGCGTACCTTGCGATTGGGTAGAGGGCACATATTGCAAAACAACTACGTTACTTTTAAGTAAAAACGATTTTTGCACACCAGATTTTAGATCTCTTGTAGCTCCACCGGCTTTAATTATAATGGGTCCATATAATTCAAGCTGGTTCGCATTCATAAACACAAATGTCATACCGCTGAAAACAGTTTTACGAGCCGGTGTTATTGTGCAATCTAGATTATGTCCCATCAAATCATTGCTATTTATAGGCTTGTATTCATTAGGTTGGGGGAGTGTACTACGTCCACGACGTGCAGCGTCCACAAAATTTCGCCAGTAGTCAAGAGTAACGATTGGTCTCTGTTCAACTAAGGCGTGTAATGCTTTCACAGTCAATCTGAATTCCTTCATTGTTAAGTGAGTACATTTCATATCCCATTTATCTACAAGTTTTCCTCCTAAAATAGACATATAATGTTCCAATATTTTAGCATCTCCTGAAGACAATCCAGATATTGCACTAATGATGGGTGCATGTGAGACATGCCAAATATTTTTGAAAACGCCAAACCTGACACGATCCCCATCTGATAATTCCTGTTGTTCTCCTTGGTTAAGTTTAACGCTATTTTCTATATTTTCATTGATAAAAGTCCCGTATTTAGATCCAATATCTTCTAATGCTAGTGTCTCTTTATCGCTAACGATAATACGTAAAATCGAATGGGAACGACTTATTGAATTATCATGAGACAATACCAAATCTGCACTTGTTCGACCCACAGTATAATTATTTTTTTCCGAAATAAGAGTGAAGGTTTCATCTATTGCAAATATTATTAAAGTCTAACACCTTAAAGGTATATTTTGTTAGTTACCTGTATCCTGTTTTTTAATTATCCACATATCGTATAAAAATCCTTAAATTTATTAGAATCAAAAATTGTGAAATTTTGTAGTCAGTCGCGCGCCTTCTGCACTGACAGTTTAAAGGCGAACCATACTTATTGTAATTATGTGTCAAACATTACCCATCAAGCAGGTGTGTGTTGCTAATAGTATTAGAAATAAGAAATTATTATTTTATGGTTGCTTTATATCTGATAAAACTATAGAAATCAAGAAACAATGCACATATATATATAAAATGTTGGTAAAGATATTATATTTCTTAATTGACGTAAACATCTCTTAATATATTTATACGCTAATCAACTCATTTCATTAAAAATTTTTGAAAGTATACGCAAAATAAAATATTTAAGTATAATTTTTAAAAAAGTAACAATATGTGCATTCGACAGCTTTTAAGTGTGGCAAAAAATAAGTTTATCACTAAAATGTGTGCAAAACAACAACACTAATTTCTCCAAGTGCCTAATTATAAAGTGGTCACATATTTTATCGACTGCAGGAAAAAATATTATCAAAGTGATAAGCGATCTACTGATTGGAAATTACGAATTTTATAGTCATTTGTCAAAAGTTTATACACAAAATTCAAACAAAAAGAAAAAAAAATTTTAATTAAATTTGAAAATTGTGGAAATTAAATATTTTAAACATATGCAAAATTGCGAAAAGTAAATGTTTCAAAAATTATACATTTTTGTTCGTTATTATTTAAAATATATACATAAATATATACAGAAGTACATAAGGACTTTCTATTTTTTAACTTATTAGTTGGTAACAAGTTAATATGTACTATGAATATTAAGGCATAAATATTCCACACAATTTTTAATTTTCTTGTAAGAGAATATTTTAAAATTGTATGCAATTTTACCATTGCTTCTAATTCATTATTTATTTTAATTTTCAATTTTATATTAATTATTTATTTATAATCAATATTTTTGTTGCATTATGTGCACAAATATATTGTAATAAAGCATATATAATAAAACACATGTTGTTTGTCATACTTCAGAGCTGTCAAATGTACCAAATAAGAAATCATTTAAAATAAATCAATGTAAAATATTAAATCAATATTATATTAGGATATTTATTATACAGGTTTTTTAAATGAAAATTAAAGTAACAATAATATGAGTTTTTCGGATTTAATAAAAATTGAGAAGAGGGCCAGTATTGATATATATTTATGCTACTTAAATTCTTTTTCTTCTGTTTACCTTAAGAGGGCACTGTTAGCTGCTGTCAAATCATTATTTTGTTATTGTATTATATTGTTTACAGTTCGTTGCTCACTCACTCTGCTTTGGACATTTTATATACATTTTCGTTAAATAGTATATATTTTTAATTTTGTTATAGAAAAACGACAGTGAACTATGTTAATAGAGACAATATTTAATGTTATATTGTGTTTGTTTGGTCATATTTTGAAAACTATAATTAATATAGAGAATTCTCTGCCAATTATAAAAGGTTGACAAAAAAGCAATAACAAAATTCAACTCATTTACCGGTTTAATTAAAAATTGTGCATTTTTAAGTGAAATTACAACTATTAAAAAATGTCAGTACCGTAAGGATTATAATTTCTAGTTAATTACAATAACAAACATTTTAAAAAGTTCTCATGTTCTTATGTATGCGAAAAAAAGAAAAAACAAAAAGTAAAAGTGATAACATCAAAAAAAATGTAAATTTATAGAATTTGTGGTTATTCTTAAATGGAAAAATTTGTTAGCAAAAAATGTTAAAATCATTAAGTTTAGTTTCCATAAATGTCAGCAATACTGCTTATTTGTTGATAATCAAAAAAATTATATTTAGGGGAAGTCTAAGATTTTTGGGATATCATTACTATTGAACACTTATTTACACTGAATAAAATTTAGTACAATACTTTTGTATTTCATATTAAAAAGACTTGCTCTCATTTGAAATATAATTATTTATTCTATATCACAACAAAATAATGCTGTTTTTTAAACAAGAAATAATTTTTGCTCTTTAGATCATTAAATATCAACTATGTCTTTCAAATTGTTGCGAATATTTTCCTAGCTTAATAATGTGGATCCATCAAATATATATAAAGGTAAAATACATTAATTAGTGCACATTTTTGAATTTTTATCTAATTCTGTTTTTTATTAGCCTTTTATAGGTTCTTGTAATGATAATTAATTAATGGTAAAGATGCTTACAACAGGACTTAAAATCTTGAAACAAAAATAAATTAGATTTAAAATCTTATATTTTAAAATATATAAACTATTAAAAAATTAAACAAAAACATACTAAAAAAAATTAAAAATTAAGTGACACATTATTTTATATATTATATAACTATATTATAATTTTAATTTATAATAATTATAATTTGAAACAGAAAGACTACTAGAATATTATTACTCAAAAAATTTATATCAATCAGTCCACCTTACACAAAAAACATTAATAATACATTTAATAAAAAATTTGCTCAACACTTAACACTAGAAGCAATAATTATCACAGTAAATAATCAAAAATCCAATGAAATGGCATTTACTTCCACTTGCATAGAAACCGATAAGGAAAAACATGATGTACCATTCAAACCACGCTTAAGAGTAAGACTTCCAGAAGAAATAAATAACGATCTGCTTCTTAGACAATCTTGCGCAGAAAGCAATGAGGATAAATGTGATATATTACCCAAACCACGATTGAGGATACTAACACCGGAGCAAATTAATAGAAAATATAAACGACAAACCAAAAATTTAAAAAGACAAGAGAAGCGAATAAATAAAATTCATGAATTACAAATTTTAAACTCTAAAAGTAATAATTCACAAGAAAATTTTGAAAAAGAAAATCATAAAGATGTAAGTCTTGAGCCTAAAAATAATGATTTACAAGAAATTCCTAACAAACGATATGGCAATGATATAAACTTTAACTTAAATTATATGAAAAAAATTGACGGATTATCTCAAGATGGTTTAAATAAATATACTGTTGATTTATTACATGAGATTACTGAAGATGAGCTCAATATAGCAGCAGCTGTCATTGAAAATAATTGTCCAAAAAAATATGCGATTTAATATATACATTTAAATAGTATTTAACTGAATACTATCAAAATTATTCTTAATTTAATTTATAGCTTTAATTAATAAAATATGTACTTTATTTTGTTTTCATAGCATTAAATAAGTTAAGTAATAATGATGTTACAGAATATATATTGAGTAATGTGAATAATCTAATATATCTGTAATAAAATAAATGAACATAGAAAATTAATTTGTTTTTAAATTATAAAAAATGACATAATTTAGGATTTAGTATCTGATTACTATAACAATGCATCAAACTAAAGTTAAAGTTGATATAAAAAATAGTGCATTATTTAATTTATTCAAATTAACAATAATTTATAATTATTCCAATAATGACTACGCTTATACGCAATTATAAATGAAGTAAACATTTTGTTCGTTAACCTCTCCATTTTAAGTTTTAATAATTGTTGTATTTTGAATACATGATAGAGATTTTTGTGTAATATAACAATATAAAAATCAAAATTTCTTAGTAGCACTGGTTATGCATATTAAATGATATTAAAGCTAAATTTTTGGCTAACCTATAAGCGATTTTAAAAAGATATTGTATTGTCACGCATTTCTATTATACACTCTATTTTGCTACGGAATATTTTTATCGATTAAACTTATAAAATTTATTGATTTGTTGTTATACCATTTTATAAATATGCTCTAATAATTTATAAAGTTGATTTGTTTTGATTTGTTGCTTTGCTTTTTTTTTTGACATACTGTATTCTCTTCACTTACTTTTACATTTATTGTAATTACATTTTGCTATCAATTATATTTAATTGAAATGAAAGCTTTTGAAGTTCAAAAATATGTTAAAATTACTTATTACACAATATATCAAATATTCAAATTTAAATTGTAATTTAAAATTTTAATTGATTTTTAATTGTCAGTTTCTATCACGTTTTACCTTCAGATGGCGCTGTTGTCAACTGTCAAATTATTGCTGTTCTGTTGCTTCGTTTCCATTTTGTTGCCCCAGAAACTTTGCACATTTTGTATTAGCCTTTCTGTTTATTAGTAAGAATTTGTTATTTAATTAAAAAATTTTTATTATAATTTAAGAAAAATAAAATTTGAACTGTGATAAAATAGGTAAATTATAAATTCTTGTTTTATTATTGTTAATAAATTTTGTTTAAAACTTTTCAAAAGTAGAAATTGGTAAATATTTTTGCAAACGACAAGAAAAAAAAAGAAATACAAGTCAACGAGAAATCTTGATTTGCTAAATTTGGGAGGAGAAAAACATCTTTGCTAAGCCAAAGAGCAAATAGTCGTCGTTAGTCGGTTTAATCGCAAAAAGTTAATATTTTCAAGTGCAATCAATTCAAATAAATCAAAAAATGCCACCAGTCGAGTAAGAAATATAATTAATTTATAGCTAAAGTGACATAAACATAAATTTAAACATTTGTGCTTTTACTTAATTTTCATAAGTTTCATGATAAAATCATATAATTAATAATAATCATTAACGCCTGAAATTGTGAAAATCCAAAATTTTTAACATTTTGCAAATATAAAATCTTGCCAACATAATTTCATGCTATGAAATCATAAACAACGCAACAGTTTAGATTTTATGTAGAATTTTCAATTTTATGCTGCAGATGTTTACTTCATCCATGACGTCATCGCCATTCAGTGCTATTTTTAAACAAGTGTTTTTCTAGTATAAAAAAAAAATTATTGAAGAGAAATATGAATCAAATTTGTTTGATAGCTAAATTTTAATATATATAGATCAGTAGCAATATTTATTTGTTGTTAATCAAAAATGCTTAGTATAGAATATATACTAAGCATTTATATATATATATATAAAGCAAAAATATATATATTTTTTGGGAGATCATTCCTAAGGTGAACCCGTACGTGTAGTTTTGTACATAATATATTTATTTATTTTATTATTAATATCACTGTGGAACTGCTTTGATGCAATTTAAAAAAAAAATACATTTAGTAGTAAACACTACTTAATTATATTATACATGGTTAGCCTTGAAAAAACAGGTTAAAGTAATTAATAGTGTGCCTTCAAGTTCTATCTATTTGTTGTTGACTAGACCCAAATTTTAGTAGTCCTAGTAAATTTGCAACCTGTGTTTTTGCATTTCTATTCAAAAATAAAAAAATTAGACAAGAATTTTGAGTGGTTCCAGTTTGTTATGAGAGACTGAAAGTTCTACAATGCAGTTCTAGTCGCTCCCGAAAATAATAAGTTTAAGTTATTATTTATTATCTAAGATCTAAGATGAAGATTGGTAAGTACGACTGATATTCTGGACAAAACGTGAAAATCCATCGTGCTAGTGATATTCATATCAAAAATATATGAAGAATTTAAATCCCGATTTAATAGCAAAATCTAGTTAAATTAAGTATATATATCTAAATTGACAACATGCTACTTTTATATGAAATTTTGTAGCACATCAGTGAAGGATTCACCTTATAGAGACGTGTAATTGCTAAAATATAGTCTCATTGTAAATACTTACAACTAAGTATATCTAGCTTTTACTTATACTTATACTTTACTTATATATCATAATAGGTCTGTTCCGCAAGCTACCTGTGCTAAAAGTCAAGTAAAACACAAGTAAAGTACAATCTGAGAGTGTAACACAAATAAAGTGCTAAATGACGCACAGATTTTCATGGAATAGCTTTGTGTAAAGTCTGGTGAGATCACTAGTGTCGCGCAAATAAACAATACAAAAATTTAAATTCAAACCAAAACAGCTGTTTCACACATCACACAAATTTTACTTGAAATAAAATGTACGAGTAAAGTCTGTGTAGCATTTTCAAATTTCGACAGGGATGTTACGCTCACTCAGCTCATTTACTTGAAAATTTGCAGGTGGAACCCACTTGTGTATACACAGTGTTACTCAAAGTTAGTACGACTAGCTCGTATAACGGACTTATTATCAAGAAATTTTCTTTCAATATTAAATATCAAGAGGTGTTCTCAAGAAGAAATATAATAGTTGTATGTATCGTGCTGTCCTTTTCTGACTGTACTGTACATTGAATGTAAAGTGTTGGTGAAATGAAATCAATTTAATTACTGCTTTGATAACTGCATGTGTTCCTATTGACTACTTCCGTTTAAAAAGGGAACTAAAAAAATGCTGAGTGACAGAGAAGTCTAGTATTGAACTAAAAGCTGTTGTTAGGTTTATCAATTAAGTTTACCAATTATCAATTGACTTTCTGCAGAGATAGCATAAAATATCTTATAGGTTTCAGTACATGATTGTATACTAATAATAATATTGCAAACAAATATCAATATCATTAATTTCATGTTTTTTTTTTATAAAATATGCAACTCCAAATAATCATGTTTGTTGAATATAAAAAAGAATTCTATAAGCTGTTGTACTTTACTTTTCAGATAAGATAGAAATTAAAACAATCATTACTGGTTTCTACTTTCTAAAGATTTTTTGTTTTCTTAACTTTTTTTCTAAAAAGGTCAACATTTTTTGGAATATAAATATTAAAATAGTATTTGTACGCTCTCAAAACACATAAAAAAAATACATATTTATTATCAAAGAAAAAACAAATTACATATGATAACACACAGATAAAATACCTGTACCCGCTCTACTTCTGTTTGAAACTCTTTAGAAGAGTAAATCGATGTGTATTTTCGTTTGTTTTGTGGGCGATAAACATAACGGGCGCTGGAGTAAAAGCGCGAGAATAGGCACATTTGGAAATGTTTCATTGATATTTTTATCTTTATGGCAATGTTTTTTAAAGTCATGCTACAATCGGTTTTTAGATATAAGCTACCTTGTAACAAGATTTTTTTTAGTATTTTTCCGGCAGACTTTTAATAATTGATTTCACATTCTACATATGAATGATATTGATTATTGAGTATATAAAATATGTTTTATTTTATTATTATTACCTAAAATGCATATATTATAAATAGAAAGGACACATTTGTTAATCGGAACGGTGCCATTTTGTTCATACAGCTATATATAAATGACAAAATCGGATATCAAGTAGATTACGTAGGTGTGTGCTGATATAACTGTCAGTATTTCTACTTGGAGACATCTATTGTGATATTCTTATAGTTTCCTGGAAGCGACGAGTCACACTAACCATTGTTATCTCCTGATATAGTCTTAGTTAAAACATGTACCTTTTACATAAAGCTGAATAGATCCGACAAGTCTGCTTTTGTTATATCTGGCAGGTCATTAAGAAACAATTTCCAAGATACTGAATTTTTTTCATTTGTAGTCCTGAACAAAGTTGTAAAAAGTGATTAATCGATTTCATATTGTCTTTATTACTGTGGTCCAGCACAAACCATATGTCGGAATATACCACCGTTAAAGCACCAAGTAAGTATTGACCTGTTGCGATTAGTCCACAAGTCATTCCTCTTTAGTGAATTTCTCTATGCTCTCAAACAGTTCACATATAGGGATTTGTATCGATGATCCGTATTTATAAATGAATATTTCAGAACCAATTACAGACATTGTGTTCATCGTTGTTCACTAGAGGATTAAGACATTTTGTCTTCGATTTCACTGTTCTGTATTCTATTGCTTTCATGGCTGTCTAATTCTCTATAGCGATAGTGATATTCAAATAACGAACTGTAGTAGCTTATATTTGACTGGCTGCTATTTAACTGCTATACCTATATGACTATAAACTATTGTTCAAATATGTTATAAGAAATTTGAGATAGCTTCAAGAATATCTATTTACCTTTTTATGATTATAACAGCAGTCATGTTTAATGTTTATCTCACCTAATAACAATGTACCGCACAATCTGTTTTGAAATGCCGATGTATATTTTAATTAATTTTTAAAAACATATGCCAATTCTTGACTAATGTACCTATACATATAGCGCTACACATAGATATGATCCACACAGCATAGGGCGTCACACTGAGTAGAGAAGAACGAATTTGAAAAGAATTTTTTGAATCGAATTAATTTGTGTGGCTGTTGACGCGGTCAATCAGTAGTGGGAGCTCTTTTTGCAACATGTTTTTTCAGCTTTTGGTGCCTTTATGCTGCACATAGTCTATTGGCACATTTGTAACGCACAGATTGTAATCAAATTAATTGGTGAATGCAGTTCGCCTATTTCGGTTGTTTTCACGCGTATTTGCTTCACAAATAAATAATTTTAAATTAAATAATTTTTCTCTATATTAAAATTCAAAAGCGGTTAGTTTAGTTAATTAATGTTAAATGTGTTTTATACAATATCAAAAACTAAATATTGTTATACAATATCTAATAGATACATAATATAGTGTAGTGAAAATATTACATCAGACAAAGCAAATCCAGACCTTTTTTATATACAAAATAAAAAAACAAAATTTAATAAATTGAATTGAATAAATTGAATTAACTATAAACTTTGTGAGAAAACTTTAAGAAACATAAATTGTAATTAAATATTTTGTTATTTTAACTGTGATTGGAGAACTCTTTTCGAAGTGGATGAACTTTGCGTGCTTCTCCATAAAAAAAAAAATCGGGATTAGATTATATTTGTGATAGTCTTTTAGCTTGTTTTGTAATGTCCATATATTATTAGGGTGTGCTGAAATTTATTTCAAAAATATATCTCAAAGGTGCTTCTCATTATGTATATAGAACGAATATCAAATCTAATAACACATGCGAAAAATCAAGTGACGATAGATTGTCGTCTAATTTATTTGTGATGAAAGCCAAAAAAATGAAAGTATATTGAATATAAAATGTTCGGTAACGCATTTCATGTTTCATATTTAATATAATTATTAATAGTTTTTTTTAACTATTTAAGATAAATAAACTTAAATATGTTATGCTACCTTTAGAAAATATTGTAAGCATTCAATGCTTAACTATTTTGAATTCAATAATTACAACTATTGTAGACTATATTTCATTCCCAGGGACCATACCCTTTTAATATATAGAATCTATTTATAGAACCTATAAAAGTAATTCGAAAATAACTATTTGATACCAATAAATTGTGAATGACGGCAAAATAAAGTATATGTCTGCTGCTAGTGGCTGGCAGTTATACTTTCGAATCCGTCAAAGATTTTATCTACCTTGGCACCGCCGTGACAAACAACAATAATATCAGGTTGGAGATTATACGAAGTATCAGCATTGCCAATAGGTGCAAGTATGGACTCAGTAGGCAATTGGTGTGTAGAGTTCTCTCTCGACAAATAAGACTTACGCTCTATAGGTCACTAATCTAAGCTGTACTTTTGTACGTAGCAGAAGCATGGACAACATCACAGAATGATGAAGCACTACTGGGAGACAGAAAAACTCTTCGTAACATGTTTGGGCCTTTACAAGTTGATGATGTCTACCGCATCCGTATAAACCACGAGCTGACGGGCTGCATCATGATATTGACATAATTTAGCAAATTATTATCCACGACTTTGCTGGCTTGGTCAAATGGTGAGAATGGATGAAGATGCAGACATCAAAAACGATCTGATTTATGATGGACAAGAAATTAGTTAACACATATTTATACCGTAATATTAGACAATACTCGAATTTGAATTAAAAGACAGATACTAGTTAATCTAAAAGGTTACGTGACGTTCGCTCTTCCTGGCAGGGATAACACCAACAAAATTAAATCTAATCTAAATCTAAGAATATGAATGCTGTCACTTTAATTGTATGAAATCAAATCATAAATCAACTAGATTCGCGATTGTTTTTACTGTGGGTCAATTGAGCAGATCGGCGATGTTCTACAATGTAGAGTTAGGGTGGACATTACGAACAGTCTAGTCTATACGTGATAAATGGTTGTACCATAACTTTACTTAATATAACATAGTTCTTGCTACTGTAGATACAATTAATTTTCATTATATCGGACTGTAATTGTTCTAACACTCGATAGTTAAAGTCTATATCGGTCAGGTTATATCATTTAGGATTGTTGAACTGAAATTATGTTTATAATATATAATTTTAAAAAATGAGATACATATATTGACTATATATGTATGTTATATGCTATTATAATTATATCTACTGCATGGTTTCATCTATATGTAATTATTCGAAACTATTTTCAACAACCCTTTTATTTTTGCATTATAATCAAGAATGTTAATAATTTACATACTTTTGGTTCTTATGCATCAACATCAGTTTTCAGACTTAAGTAACAATTTTTAAAAAATGTGCACTAATTATTAATTAAAATTAATTAAATTGCACAAGCTAATTACTACTTAGTGATAAATTCAATTGTTGAGGAATTTTTATTAAATTGTGTTGTTCTGTGACTCGTTTGGATTTGCTTAGCTGCCTTTTTTGTACTGGTTTTACTATAGACTATACATTGTGACCGAAAAGTTTCCGGAAATAAATAAATAAAACGCAAAATTCTTAATCTTCATCAATATTTATTTTATCTCCTTCAAAA